TATCTCCACTATCTCTCCACTCTCCCGCACCATCTCTCCACTCTCCCACACTCTCTCTCCACTCTCCCACCATATCTCTCCACCTCCCAATCAATCTCTCCACTCTCCCACACTATCTCTCCACTATCTCTCCACTCTGTCACACTGTATCTCCACTATCTCTCCACTCTCCTGCACTACCTCTCCACTCTCCCACACTATCTCTCCACTCTGTCACCCTATTTCTCCACTATCTCTCCACTCTCCCACACTATCTCTCCACTCTCTTGCACAATCTCTCCACTCTCCTACACCATCTCTCCACTATCTCTCCACTATTTCTCCACTATCTCTCCACTATCTCTCCACTATCTCTTCACCCTCCCACACTATCTCTCCACTCTCCCACACTATCTCTCCACAATATCTCCACTCTGTCACACAATCTTTCCACACTCCCCACTATCTCTCCACCTCTCCCACACTATCTCTCCACACTTTCACACTATCCTCTCCACTATCTCTCCACACTCCCACACTATTTCTCCACTCCCACCCTATCTCTCCACACTCCCACACTATCTCTCCACTCTCCCACACTATCTCTCCACAATCTCTCCACTCTGTCACACTATCTCTCCACAATCTCTCCACTCTCCCACACTTTCTCTCCACTCTCCCGCACAATTTCTCCACTCTCCAACACTATCTCTCCACTATCTCTCCACTATCTATCCACTCTCCCACACTATCTCACCACTCTCCCACACAATCTCTCCACTCTCCCACACAATCTCTCCACTATCTCTCCACTCTGTCACACTACATCTCCACTATCTCTCCACTCTCCCGCACTATCTCTCCACTCTCCCACACTCTCTCCACTCTCCCACACTATCTCTCAACTCTCCCACACTATCTCTCCACACTCCCACCCTAACTCTCCACTCTCCCACACTATCTCTCCACTCTGTCACACTTTCTCTCCACTCTCCCACACTACCTCTCCACTATCTCTCCACTCTCTCACACTATCTCTTCACTTTCCCACACTATCTCTCCACACTCCCACACTATCTCTCCACTATCTCTCAACTCTCCCACTCTATCTCTCCACACTCCCACACTATCTCTCCACTCTCCCACACTATCTCTTCACCATCTCTCCTCTCTGTCACACTATCTCTCCACAATCTTTCCACTCTTCCACACTATCTCTCCACTCTCCCGCACAATTTCTCCACTCTTCCACACTATCTCTCCACTATCTCTCCACAATCTCTCCACTCTCCCACACTATCTCTCCACTCTCTCACACTATCTCTCCACCCTCCCACACTATCTCTCTACTATCTCTCCACTATCTCTCCACTCTGTCACACAATATCTCCACACTCCCACACTATCTCTCCACTCTCCCACACTATCTCTCCTCTCTCCAACACTATCTCTCCACTATCTCTCCACTATCACTCCACTCTCCCACACTATCTCTCCACACTCCAACACTATCTCTCCACTCTCCCACTTGATCTCTCCACCATCCTCTCCACTCCCTCACACTATCTCTCCACTCTCCCAGACTATCTCTCCACTATCTCTCCACTCTGTCACTATATCTCCACTATCTCTCCACTCTCCCGCACTACCTCTCCCTTCTCCCACACTGTCTCTCCACTCTCCCGCACAATCTCTCCACTCTCCCACACTATCTCTCCACTATCTCTCCACTATCACTCCACTCATTCACACAATCTCTTCACCCTCCCACACTATCTCTCCACTCTCCACACTATCTCTCCACTATCTCTCCACTCTGTCACACAATCTCTCCACACTCCCACACTATCTCTCCACTCTTCTACACTATCTCTCCTCTCTCTCACACTATCTCTCCTCTATCTCTCCACTATCTCTCCCCTCTCCCACACTATCCCTTCACTCTCCCACACTATCACTCCACTCATCCCACACTCTCTTTCGACCCTCCCACAATATCTCTCCTCTCTCCCACACTATCTTGTCACTATCTCTCCACACTGTCACAGTATCTCTCCACTCTCCCACACCATCTCTCCACTCTCCCACACTATCTCTCCACTATCTCTCCACGCTCCCACACTACCTTTCCACAATCTCCCACTATCTCTCCAATCTCCCACACTATCTCTCCACTCTCCCACACAATCTCTCAACACTCCCACACTATCTCTCCACTCTCCCACACTATCTCTCCACTCTCCCTCACTATCTCTCCACTCTCCCATACTATCTCTCCACTATCTCTCCACTCTCCCACACTACCTCTCCGCTATCTCTCCACTATCTCTCCACACTCCCACACTATCTCTCCACTCTCCCACACAAACTCTCTACTATCTCTTCACTCCCTCACACTATCTCTCCACTCTCCCCGCACAATTTCTCCACTCTTCCACACTATCTCTCCACTATCTCTCCACAATCTCTCCACTCTCCCACACTATCTCTCCACTCTCCCACACTATCTCTCCACCCTCCCACACTATCTCTCCACTCTCCCACACTATCTCTCGACTTTCTCTCCACTCTCCCACACTATCTCTCCACTCTCGCCTGCTCGGCCTTCCGTCCCCCGACCCTGCGTCTGGTCCTCCCCGACCGTCTCCTCCTCTTCCTGTCTACGGCCCTGTTTTCCCTCCACCGGACTCGTCCCCGTCCTGTCTCCCCCCTCGTTCCCCTCGTGTGTCACCTCCCCTGTCTCCTGACCTGTCTCCTCCGTCGCACGTCTGGTCTCACCTTCCCTCCCGTGCTCGTCCTGCCTCGCCTGTCTTGCGCTCCCACCCTATGTTGATTCGTTCCCACGCGTCTCGTCCTCCCCTTCTGCCGTCGCCTCCTCCGTCCTCCCTTGTTGTTGCACCCCCCCCACTGTCTGACTACCTTCGTGCCGCTCGTCCCCTTGTTCCTCGGGTCCTTGCCTCTCTCGTTACCGACCCGTCTGTTCCGGTCTCGTGCCTTGACGCCCTTGTCGCTGCTGTCGCTGACTTCGCCTCTACCCGCCGCCTTGACTACGCCACAGCTCTGGTCTCTGACCCTGCCTGTCCTCCGTCTGTCGGGGGTGCTCCTGCTCTTGGCAGTGACGTCCTGGAGGACCGCCAGTTCGAGCTTGCTTTCCTCTCCAAGGCTGCTCCCCATCTCTGTTCCATGCTGCTAGTCCCTGAGGGTGACCCAGACGCTTTCGACATCCCGACCCCTCGCACTTACGCTGAGGCGACTTCGGGACCCTGGGCCTCACAGTGGATAGCTGCCATGGAGCAGGAGATGGCATCTTGGAGATCCACCGGCACCTTTGTCGATGCAGTTCCCCCACCTGGGGTGAACGTAGTCGATGGCCGCTGGCTCTTCAAGGTGAAGCGCCCTCCTGGAGAGCCGCCTGTGTTCAAGGCGCGCTATGTGGCTAGAGGCTTCAGTCAGCGCGAGGGGGTGGACTTCTTCCAGACCTTCGCTCCGACCCCGAAGATGACTACTCTTCGGGTTCTGTTACACATAGCTGCTCAGCGTGACTACGAGCTTCACTCCCTCGACTTCTCCACTGCCTTCCTTGAGGGCAGCCTACACGAGCAGGTCTACTTGCGTCTCCCTCAGGGCTTTACTGGCACCTTCCCTCCTGGGACCCAGTGGCTCCTGCGGCGCCCCGTCTACGGCCTGCGCCAGGCTCCCCGTGAGTGGCACGACACTCTCCGTGCTACGCTTGCTGACCTGCAGTTCTTTCCGTCTTCCGCAGACCCTTCACTCTTCGTTCGTGCTGGCCAGACTCCGTTCTACATCCTTGTTTACGTCGACGACCTGGTCTTTGCCACAGCAGACAGGGACGCACTGGCCTCCGTGAAGGCAGAGCTGCTGAAGAGACACACGTGCACTGACCTTGGAGAACTGCGCCGCTACCTTGGCTTGCAGATCTCCAGGGACAGAGCATCGCGCACCATCACCCTGACTCAGTCACACTTGGTGCGCCAGGTCCTTCAGAGGTTCAGCCTTCAGTTCTCCTCTGCACAGCCCACCCCTCTGCCTGTAGACCACAGACTCTCCGCTCCAGTGTCTGAGGAGTTGGTAGAGCCCAGTGGCCCCTACGCAGAGCTGGTGGGTTGCCTCATGTACCTGATGACTTGCACTCGCCCAGATCTCGCATACCCTCTCAGCATCTTGGCTCATTTTGTGGCCACAGGCAGACACCGACCGCAGCACTGGTCTGCCGCTAAGAGGGTTCTGCGTTATCTTGCTAGTACATCGGGCATGGGGTTAGTGCTAGGAGGACGCAGGCCAGTGGTCCTTACTGGACACACAGACGCTTCGTGGGCAGACGACGCCGAGACACTCAGGTCTACCCAGGGCTACTGCTTCAGCCTTGGCTCAACTGCCGTCTCGTGGAGAGCTACTCGCTCCTCGTCTGTAGCGCAGTCCAGCTGTGAGGCTGAGATCTACGCTGGTGCCATGGCGGCACAGGAGCTCCGCTGGCCGACCTTCTTGCTCACTGACTTAGGTGAGCGGCCTAGCTTTGCCCCGGTCCTGTTCGCTGACAACAGGGCCATGATCCTCCTGTGGCAGGAGCTTCGACTTGAGGGCAGAGCGAAGCACATTCAGCTGCGGTACTTCCTCCTGCGTGAGCTACAGCAGCGACGTCAGGCTCGCGTAGTACACTTGGCCTCAGGTGCCAACACGGCTGATATCTTTACGAAGGTGCTTGCGCCTAAAGATCATCAGCGGCACTGTGTACAGCTTGGTCTAGTTCCTGTAGCCTCTCACTTGCTAGGACCTTGACTTTGTACTGTCCTTTATATGTATACTCAGACTGGACTTGTGTCCTCTCCCAGTGGCTGGACTAGTAGTGCCGCCCTGCTCTTGTTCTTGCCTTGTCTGTACTCCTTCTGACTGGTCCCTCATACCCTTGTCTCAGAGGTTGGACTAGTAGTGCCGCCCTGAGCTGCTTGTTTAGGACATTCCCCTAAACAGTCTAGGGGGTGTGTCAAACATGTGTATTTGTCATGCTTGTATAAACTGTATAGGGTCACCTCTTAGAGGGTACAAGACTTAGGTATATCTATGTGTACTCTCACTCTATCAACAACACTTCTCTGATTATGATACTAGCTTCCTAGCTAAGCTAGCCTTTTAACAATAGGGTGTTATATACGGGGGATTACGGTATGTCCAGTGAATGCTATGGAGACAATGCATTCCCTTTTTCATATCAACGTAATGTTATTTCAACTGTGAGAGGGCCGAAATGAGGGCATCTGTGTGCTCGGGCTTGCCTACGCTGATGCGAATGAAGTTGCAGAGGTCCGGCTTGTCGTAGTGCCGCACCATGATGCCCTGCGCAGCCAGCTCGTCCTGCGAGCACAGCATTGAAAAGCTTAACGCATACTCCGCCACGGAATGGTTTCCCAAGCAAACTGCATTTCAAAAAACACGTGGCATCAGATGTGTGGGCATGATGGTCTGTACCTTCAGTGCTTTGGCAGTCCAGTGGGTGTTTTGGAGTCCACAGAGAATGAAGTTGGCATGGCTGGGGAAGGGCTTTAAGAAGGGCAGTGTGCTCAGCTTCTCCATGAGGCGCCCCCTCTCCCTCACCAGGGCATCTCGCACCGTCTGCACACAGCCACGCAGGGCAAGGGTGCGCACAGCCAGGCACACCAAGGGCTCAAACATGAACGCACGGAAACACAAGTAACCAACAAAGCAGGTACAGCTTACCGATTATCACCCACCTACACTCACTCAGGCTTATATCCTCATGCATGAAGCACCAGTTATGTGTGGCACGGGCCAACACATAGCCTCCCACGTGTGGCCAACACACACCTCGAGAAACGGCTGGTTACCCCAAAACATTCCAGCACGTATGGGAGGTTGGAATGACACATGCCTGCAGGTAGGGCTGGTTGGAACGACACATACCTGCAGGTAGGGCTGGTTGGAGAGTGCTGCGCAGGCGGCGACCTCAGCGGCGACGGACACGTTGTAGGGCTGCTTGGCGCGCCACAGGTACTCCACCAGCGCCAGGGGGAACGCCCCATACCCCACACGCAGCCCCGCCAGGCCTACGGGCATAACAAGGAAGGAGGAGGGGGGGGGGGGGGGGGGGGGGGGGAGGGGGAGGGGGAGGAGGGAGGGAGGGAAAGAGGGGGGGTTGAGGAGGAGACGGGGAGGGAGGAAAGGGAGGGCAATGGGGCAGAGGAGCGCAAGGGCACATCGGGAAGTTGAAATGCTGCGATTGCAGGGACGAGAGGCAGGGGACAGCAGCATATGGATGAGGCTTGAGCGAGAGGGGGCTGACCGGCGCGCTTGCTGAAGGTGCGCAGCACGATCAGGTTGGCGTGGCGCTGCACCAGCCGCATGCTGGACGGCTGGTCCGAGAACTCAATGTACGCCTCGTCCAGCACCACCAGCACCGGCAACCGCAGCAGCGCCGCCAGGTCCTCTGCACTCAACATGCTGCCAGCGGAGGGGAGGGCGCGGGGGGGAGGAGGGGAGGAGGGGTGAAGCATACGTGTCCGCCCATGTTCCTGCCATCAGGGTTGTTGGGCGCAAAACGCACCTGCCATCGGGGTTGCTGGGCGCAAAACGCACCTGCCATCGGGGTTGTTGGGCGCAAAACGCACCTGCCATCGGGGTTGTTGGGCGAGGTGAGGAAGAGCAGCTTGGGGTGGTGCGCCTCCACCGCTGCCGCCACGCCCGCCACGTCAATGGAGAAGTCGCTCCGCCGCGGCACTGAAGGGGAAGGGGGCAGGGGGGGGCGCACGCAGCACACAGGGGGGAGGGGGAGAGGGGAGGGGGAGGGGCGGGGGGGGGGGGGGGGGGGGGGGGGGGGGGTAAGAGAAGGAACAAACCACTGGATGCGCGTGCAGGAGCAAACCACTGGATGCGCGTGCAGGAGCAAACCACTGGATGTGCGTGCAGGAGCAAACCACTGGATGTGCGTGCAGGAACAGTGGTAGAGGAACACAGACTGCAAGGCAAGACACTCAAGTGATGACATACATGTGTTGACCCACCTGTGATGACACGCGCATTGTTGACCCACCTGTGATGACACGTGCGTCGTTGACATGGGCGTCGAAGGCATACATGGTGAAGGTGGGCGGGCAATCCACTATGGCCTCGCCCGGCTCCAACACACACCTGCACTCCCCATGCCGCACATGCACACCCGCTCACACCACATGCCGCACATGCACACCCGCTCACACCATGCAAGCATGGATAGAAACACAACCGAAGGAGGCACAAGGGTGAACCAGGTGTTGTCGCTCAGCGCGGAATACTTGGCTGCCTCACGACGCACTGATGGCGCTCGCTCGCTCTTGCCATGCCCACCTGCCAGCCTGGCTGCTCTCCGCGGAATACAGGATGGGGCTGACGAGTACCGGCAGGGATGGCAGGGATGGCAGGGACGGCAGGGATGGCAGGGATGGCAGGGATGGCAGGGATGGCAGGGATGGCAGGGATGGCAGGGATGGCAGGGACGGCAGGGATGGCAGGGATGGCAGGGACGGCAGGGAGGAGAGCAGGGAGGTGGGGGGGAGAGCAGGGAGGTGGGGGGGAGAGCAGGGAGGCAGGTGGGCGGGTTGGGGTGGGCACCGCATGATGAGGTCGATGAGCTCACCGCATAATGAGGTCGATGAGCTCGTCCGCGCCGCACCCCACCAGCAGGTGCTCTGCTGGCACGCCGCAGTCGGCCGCCAGCGCTGCCCTGAGCTGGCGGCTCTGAGGGTCCGGGTACACATGGGGGAACGCCAGCGACCCCAGCGCCTCCAGAACCTGCTCGCCTCACAAATGCCATGTGCACACACACGCACACATACATGCACACACGCACACATACATGCACACACGCACACATACATGCACACACGCACACATCCATGCACACACGCACACTCCATGCGTGCACGCACACGCAAGCACGCACGAACGCGCGCGCACACACACACACTTTCATGTGTATACAAGTCGGAAGGTTGCAATACAGCGAGCAATGCAAGCGAGCCGTGATTACTCAAGGAGCATCACCCGTGCACACGCACCCTCCCCTCAGCCGTGTGCTCCCCCCTCAGCCGTGTGCTCCCCCCTCAGCCGTGTGCTCCCCCCTCAGCCGTGTGCTCCCCCTCAGCCGTGTGCTCCCCCCTCAGCCGTGTGCTCCCCCCTCAGCCGTGTGCTCCCCCCTCAGCCGTGTGCTCCCCCCTCAGCCGTGTGCTCCCCCCTCAGCCGTGTGCTCCCCCCTCAGCCGTGTGCTCCCCCCTCAGCCGTGTGCTCCCCCCTCAGCCGTGTGCTCCCCCCTCAGCCGTGTGCTCCCCCCTCAGCCGTGTGCTCCCCCCCTCTCCCCCCTCTCCCCCTGGACGGCATGGCAGCAGCGGCACTGACCTCGGGCGGCGGGCCGTAGGGGTTTTCGTTGGCGTCGAGCTTGACAATGTCGCTGGGCGCGCGCCCCAGCTGCGCCGACAGCACCTGCGCCCCGCGCCCCACGCCCCACACGCACCCCGACCAATTACCGCAGGCGAAGCAGCGCAAAGACGGGCGGGAAAGGGGGGAGAGCGAGGTGAGCGCGGCACGGAGAATGTGGGCATGAGGGAGGATGGGCGGGGGAGGAGGGGGGAGGGAGGGGAGGTGGGATTAGGGGAACGCGTGAGAAGAGGGCGGGAGAGGGCGGGAGAGGGCGGGCGGTAGGGGAGAGAAGAGTGAGAGAGAGAGCTGGGAGGGAGAGAAAGTGTGATGGGAGGAGGAGAGAGTGTGATGGCAGGGGTAGAGAGTGTGATGGGGGAGGAGGGGGGGGAGGGTGCGATGGGAGGAGGGGAGGGAATGGAGAGCAAGGCGCTGGGCGGGCGAGCGGGAAGTGGAAGTGGATTCGAGGAGGCAGGCGTGAGGGCGGGATGGCAGGCACGCGGGCATGGGGGCTCGACGGCTTGAGGGTGGAGACTAGGATGGGCGCGGCAGACAGCGCAATGTGGGGCGCAGGCGGACGATGGGGTCCACAAGCAGCAATCACAGGCGACGACCGGCGATCACGGGCGATCACAGGCGACAAAACGCCAAAACTGAGCCGCCACCTATCGACGCCTCTCGGCGCACGTGGAAGGGCAGAGGGGCACCTCGAAGGGCAGACGGGCGCACCTCGAAGGGCAGACGGGCGCACCTCGAAGGGCAGACGGGCGCACCTCGAAGGGAACGATGGGGGTGTAGGGCTTCAGCCGGCGCAGATGCGGGCGGACAAACTCCGCGCCGTCCGCCATTGTGGTCTCCGCAGGCGGGAGCGCATCGGCGCGCGGAGCGGCGGAAGCTGCTGGCTGCACCGCGCGAGACGAGACGCGGCGGGAAACCGGTGGATATGCGAGAGAGGGAGAGGAGCGCAGCGAATGGCGGAGGAGAGCCCGCGGCTGCATGGCTGAGGGCGTTGCGGCGGCAGTGATGAAAGCGACTTGCGGGTATGTGCGTTTGTGTGATATGACGAGGTTTTACGTCGTCTGCTGCGATAAGAGCGCGGGGGCGAGAGACAGCACTGTTGCGGGTATTCAACTCCTCATGTACCAGTACATAGAAACTAGGACTATCAATTGCCAAACGGTACAAGTTGAAGCAACTAGATGACATACATTATGATGAGTCAGCACACCCTATTACGCTTGTGAATGCAGCCTTCAATAGATATTCATTTTGCATGCATTGTGGCCGAAACAAAGGATGAACAAACACCTTCATTACAACATGATACACCGTAGATCATGGATGGCATGATCAAACATAACAGCAACAGTATTGCGTACGGGGAATATAATACAAGCTTGGCTCATGGGCCACAAATCAAGAGCAACACGGGCCACATGCATGTGACGTCGTAGTGTAAGTTTGAGAGACCATGGCATGTAAGGTGGCTGGCGTTGGTACGGCATACAGTGGCAGCACGTGGCGACTGAGGCAGCAGAGGTGCAGGACGTTGCGGCAGGCGCCGTGGCTGAAAGGATGCACGTCCCCTGGGATGGCCCTGCAGCAGGCAGCAAGCAGCCGTGGGTGAGGAGTGCATGTGCACGATGGACGCACGCACGGGTGCGTGCTAGCTCGCTATGTCAAAGCATGCCCTCGCCATGTCAAAGTACCTGTATGGCATGTCAAAGCATGTGCCTGGCATGTCAAAGCATGTGCCTGAAATGGCAGGATATGGGATTGGCATGTCAAAGCATGTGTGTGGCACACATAACGCACCGCAGGTAGGAGATGCGATGCTTCCTGGTGGCTTCATACGTAGTCTGCGCAGTGAGAATGAGGTGCCTGCACGCCATTGGCACAGTGCGGTGGGGCACAGCGCAGAGGGGCACGCGGTCAGCCGCACAGAGAGGGGTGAGGCGCACAGGGAGGGGTGAGGCGCACAGAGAGGGGTGAGGCGCAAACACACGTACCAACCACATGGCAGTGCGGCCAACTCACTCACGTGTGGAAGGCGACGAGGATGGCGAGGAAGACAGCAAGCGGCAGCAGCAGCACAGTGAAGGCCAGCGCTGAGAGCTGGTGTTCCAACCTGATGCACGAGGGAGTAAGTGGCGGACCGGTGGTTTGGCGAGATGGGAGCAACGGACCAGTGGTTTGGCGAGACAGGAGCAACGGACCAGTGGTTTGGCGAGACAGGAGCAACGGACCAGTCGTATGGCGAGATGGGAGCAACGGACCAGTGGTATGGCGAGACAGGAGCAACGGACCAGTGGTTTGGTGAGATGGGAGCAACGGACCAGTGGTATGGCGAGATGGGAGCAACGGACCAGTGGTATGGCGAGATGGGAGCAACGGACCAGTGGTATGGCGAGATGGGAGCAACGGACCAGTGGTTTGGCGAGATGGGAGCGGTGAAGGCGGAGAGGCAGATGAGCAGCGACCACCATGTGAGGCAGCACTCCAGCACCAAGTACACCCTGCCATGCCGTGCATAGTTGGGCCATAGCCATAGCCGTGCCATAGCCGTGCCATGCGTGGAATGGGGGGGCACACACACAGTAGAGCCAGTGGTGGTGGCCACGGGCAGTCAGCGTGGCTGCGATTCATTTGCAGCGGGAAGGCCATGCCAACCAGCTCCACACCCAGATATGCTCACCACATGTGCATTCCAGAAGTGTGTGTGGTTTCTACGAACTGGGATGGTCAAAAGCTGTGCTTACCAGAAGCAGGTGTAGTTACCAGAAATGGTGCTTACCAAAAGCAGGCATGGTCACCAGAAGCGGGCGCGGTTACCAGAAGCGGGCGCGGTTACCAGAAGCGGGCGCGGTTACCAGAAGCAGGCACGGTTACCAGAAGCGGGCGCGGTTACCAGAAGCGGGCACGGTTACCAGAAGCGGGCACGGTTACCAGAAGCAGGCGTGGTTACCGGAAGCGGGCGCGGTTACCAGAAGCAGGCACGGTTACCAGAAGCGGGCGCGGTTACCAGAAGCGGGTGCAGTTACCAGAAGCGGGCACGGTTACCAGAAGCGGGCGCGGTTACCAGAAGCAGGCACGGTTACCAGAAGCGGGCGCGGTTACCAGAAGCGGGCGCGGTTACCAGAAGCGGGCACGGTTACCAGAAGCAGGCGTGGTTACCGGAAGCGGGCGCGGTTACCAGAAGCAGGCACGGTTACCAGAAGTGGGCGCGGTTACCAGAAGCGGGCGCGGTTACCAGAAGCGGGCACGGTTACCAGAAGCAGGCGTGGTTACCGGAAGCGGGCACGGTTACCAGAAGCGGGCGCGGTTACGAGAAGCGGGCGTGGTTACCAGAAGCGGGCGTGGTTGCGCAGGCCGATGCAGGTGGAGAGCCAGAAGCAGTGGTGGTCGAAGCGCAGCACGCAGCGCCCACAGTCGTAGCAGTGCTTCCCGCGCACCGGCTGCTGCACCGCGCAGTACGGACACCAGCGCCGCGCACTGCTGCCAGGGGGAGGCGGGGAGGGGGGACAGCAGGGGGAGGCGGGGAGGGGGGACAGCAGGGGGAGGCGGGGAGGGGGGACAGCAGGGGGAGGCGGGGAGGGGGGACAGCAGGGGGAAAGGGGGGGAGGGAGGGAGGAGAAGGGCTTTGAGATGGGCCCTGGCATGGCCAGGTGAGAGCAGGGGGGGATGGGAAGCCGTTTCAAGAAGAGATGGCGTATTGCTGTTGAGGAGGCAGGGGTGAGGAGGGTGGTGGGGGTGAGGAGGGTGGTGGGGGTGAGGAGGGTGGTGGGGGTGAGGAGGGTGGTGGGGGTGAGGAGGGTGGTGGGGGTGAGGAGGGTGGTGGGGGTGAGGAGGGTGGTGGGGGTGAGGAGGGTGGTGGGGGTGAGGAGGGTGGTGGGGGTGAGGGGGAGTGGTGGGGGTGAGGGGGAGTGGTGGGGGTGAGGGGGAGAGGGGGGTGACCTGAATTGGGAGATGAGGAGATCCGACTGTGCTGCTGTGAGGTGCGATGGCGGCGCTGACAGGGGAAGCAGCAACACTCTCGTCCCTCCCTCCCTCCCCTCAACTCGCTCTCCCTCCTCCCCCCCTGTCTTGCCCACCCTGGCGGCACCCCATGCCCGCCCCCCGCAACAACTGCACTCTCGCTCGCCATCGCCGCCTCCTCTTTCGACGTCGTCGCAAGCCATGTCTACCCCGGCCCCGCACCATCCGCAGCATCTCCTATCGCCACACCATCTACACCCCCTTTCCCCACACCACGTGCACCCCACGTGGCCACACCATCGGCACCCTGGCAGGCAGGGGGCGAGCAAGGCTGAGGGGGCATGGGGCCCTGCACCGGTGGGAACGAGGGGAGGGGCTAGGGGGCTCACACCAAACTCCCCCCTGCCCGCGTCTCCCCTTCCCCCACCGTCGCCTTTCCCCCTGGGAGGAGGCAGCGGCACAACGGCGCAGGATGGTGAGGACTGGCGTGCAGAGTGGGGTGCAGCGGGGTGGGGGGGGGGAGTGGGAGGAGAGGAGGCGAGGAGAGGAGTGAGGAGGTCTGGGAGGCGGGCAGACTCGGTTGCTGGAGTCTTGGAGACGCGCGCAAGGGAGGGGGGGGCAGAGGCCGGGGCAGCGGCTGGGGCAGTAGCAGGGGAAGTGGGTGGGGGTGGGGGTACGAGTGGGGCGGCATGGGGGAGAGAGGCCCGGGATGGAGTCCCCCACCTGGAGACGGTGAGGGATGAATGCGATGAATGAGGGGGGGGGAGCGCAGCGATAGAGGCGCCATCCCCATTGCTGTGGCTCGTGACTGCGCGCAACAGCCCACTCTCATCCCCTTGCTCACCCGCCCCATCCATCGCCCCATCGCCCTCTCCCTCCCCGCATCTCTCCTCCTCCTCACCAGCACCCCCCTCCGTCTCCTCCTCCAATGCAACCTGCCCAGCCTGCCGTGCTGCTGCTGCTGCTGCTGCTGCTGCTGCTGCTGGCGGTGCTGGCAGCACTAGTGCTGCGGGTGCTGCTGCGGCCAACGAGTTCACGGCTGCAGCTGCTGCTCCAGGCGCTGCTGCCTGCCCAGGAGCTCCTGGGGGTGGCAGCAAGGCGGGCACAGGCAGCGTGTGGTCGCATGAGCCATCCTGTGCGGAGGCATGCCGTGCCCTGGCTGCTGCCACGGCGGCCTCAATGCTGCCCGCCACATCCTGCACGTAGCTGCCCTCACCACGCATGCACACATGCCCTCACCACGCATGCACACATGCCCTCACCACGCATGCACACATGCCCTCACCATGCATGCACACAAGTTATCCGCATGACATTCACATGCCATTAACATGCCATTCACATGACATTCACATGCCATTCACATGCCATTAACATGCCATTAACATGCCATTCACATGCCATTCACATGCCATTCACATACCATTCACGAGCCATTCACACGTCATTCACGAGCCATTCACATGCCATTCACATGCCATTCACGAGCCATTCACGAGCCATTCACATGCCATTCACGAGCCATTCATGTGCCATTAACATGCCATGCACGAGCCATGCACGAGCATGAGCAAGCAGTGGAAGGAGGGCGGAGGCGGAGGAGATGATGGGGGGGACAGGGGAGAAGAGCGGCGCAGCAGGCCAAGGCACATGCGCAGGGTAGCACGCGGAGCGGCGGGTTGGGACGAGGGTGTAGTGGGAAGAGGGCGGGGCGCAGCGCACGCACCCTGGCGAGGAGCCCGAGGTGAAGAGGTACTGCAGGAGCGTGGCGAGGAAGAGCGCGCCGTAGCACGCCGGGAACCTGGCGTGGGGGGGTGAGGGGGAGGGAGGAGAGGAGCGAGAAGGGGAAGGGAGGTAAGGGTGCGATGGGGAGAGAGTAAGACGTGTAGGACGATGGCAGGCAGGGGCACACAAGCATGGTGCCCACCACACTACTGTTACCGTATACCACATGCGGCGGTGGTTACCACATGCCACATGCGGCGGTGATACCAGATGCCACATGCTGTGGTGGTTACCACATGCCACATGCGGTGGTGGTTACCACATGCCATATGCGGTTACCACACA